AGCTGTTGCTACAGTTTCCAAAGGCTTCCAACGCGGTGAGATGACTCTCTCTGGCGAGATCGAAAAGCACTTCCATTCGTCACTGCCCTTCTCTGTGCTCAATGGGTACCCTGGGGCACAAATGACTTAATCTAAGTCTTTAGTCTCAAACCAGCAAGAAAAGAGCTCAGGTACCCAGGCCGCGCCGATTTCAGACAAGTCCTGGAAAGCTCCGCTCCCTTCGGCCCTTCTCAATATGGCGCAGGCGGGCCGCGCTGACGTGTGTGCGCGCGCGCTTCCTCTGCGCCCCGCCCCTGCGCATGCGCACTGCGCGCTGTCTTCTCCCAGCTTGAGCAGCAGCGGCGGCGGCGGTGGCGGCGGCGGCATCAGGGACGGCGGCGGCGGTGGCCACCGCGGCGTTTGAGTGGAGGAAGATGGCGGCTCCGGGCGGCCCCGGGTCCCGCCAGCTGTGAAGATTCCCCGAGCACGGCAAGCACCGGTCTGAGGCAGAGCGGCCGTGCTCTGGCCCTGGCTCTGGCTCCTTCGCCATCGTCGCCGGAGACGCGAAGCCGAGAGCGCGGAGCGGGCTGGGCCAGGTGAGGCCTCTCCCGGTGCGGGGCCGCAGCCGGGCGCCGACGCCTCCTGCGCTTTATGTCCGGGGACTCCGGGGCACCCCGAGTCCGGCGCGGGCCCGGTGTACTGCGCGGGGGTGGGTCTTGGCGGGCCTGGGGTCTTGCTGTCGTCATCCTCGGTTCCCCTGGCCGAGGTGGAGACAGGCGTCCCCTTTGCAGCTGACCCTCGGGATGGATACAGACCTGTGCCCTCTCCTCAGCTGGGTGGTTCTGGTCCTGACCCGGGCCAGGAGAGGATGCGTGGCCAGGGCAAGAATGGCTTTCGGGGTGTCATCGAGCCTCACCCCGCCCCCTGAAGCCCTTAAGTCCTCGGAGAAGAGCGGGAGACGGCTGTCCTCCCGAATTGGGTCTGCGGCGAGGGGCCGGCGTCTCGGAAGCTACAGCTGCAAAGATGATTTTTTTTTTTTTTTTTGGAATTGGCTGAGGAATTGAAACACAAGCAGTTCCTTTCCTGACCCCTAGCCGTTTGAGCGTTCTCTTAGGAGTGGGAACTGCAGCTCTCCTTGCTGGAGACAGCAGCAGTCCACGTTGTTACTGAGGAAGGCTTGCCCTGGTGAGAATTGTCTGTTCAGAGAACTGTGGAGGGTGGGAACGAGTTTGTAAATCAAGAAAAACAAACAAACAAACAAAAAAAAAAACAATTGAGTGAGATCCTGATAGTCTCAGTAGAGAAACTTCAGATGATGGAGTTGGTTCGGAACGTTTGGAACAACCGATTGCTTTGTCTGTTGAATCTTCTGAGTTTTAATAGGAAAATAAACGCTTCGTTTTGTTTCTCAATGACCAAAATATTTGGACTTTCATGTGGTAGCGTTCCAATGGCTCTAGATGCAGAACCAGACACATTTTCACTTGCTGGATGCAACACTGTGCTATTTTGTTATTTTGTTGTTGTTTTCTTGGAACAACTTTTTGTTGTTGTTGAAATGCTCGTAATTGAGTGACTTTGGTTTAGTTTTTCGAGTAGAGAAGACGGTTTGATGCCTGGTGGCCTTTTCATTGAGGAAGAATGGCTTCATTTTTAATTGTGGTGTTGTGAATTGTTGGGACCATCTCTTTTGCTTGGACACACCAAACGTCTTTTGTAACAAATCGGGCTTTGCTTGTGCTTAAGAATGATGACATCATGGATTTAAAGGGACAAGGGAAATTGCCGAAGAAACATCATCATTTAGTCTGTAGCTCTTAAGCTGGTCAGGGGTGCTCTCTGTCAAATTCTAGCTGAGTTTATTCAGTTGTCTAGTGCGGTTGGGTGTCTTTTCTGTTGCATGCTGATCAGTTTATATCCTATAGCTGTTTGCTTTAGATAAGCCCAATTTAATATAGCGTTCAATCTATGTTGAGCCATGAGTGTTTTTTGCACTTCAGCCAGCTTTTAATGACAGCTATTAAGTTAAAACGACAATGACTTCATTTAATATTAGCTACTTCTTTGGCCATTTTTTCCCTTTCTTAAATTAGTGTTTTCTATAGAAATGTGTAGGTTTCCTTAGTGTTTTTGCTAAAGATGTAGACTTGAAGCAAGAGTTGGAGACTGGGGGGCCATTCTGCATGTTGGTTTGTTAACAGGTCATAAAATCAGTGGTGCTTTGACATTATGCTCCTTGGCATCATCTGTTATGTCGCTGTGCTTCATAATCATCAGGTATTAATGGAACTCTGTGACATCATTCACTTGCAGCGTTTCAGCTTTATTTCCTTACCTGTCTCTGGTACAAAATGAGAAAGATCAGGAAAAGCAGCTAAGGATGCTTTTTTCTTTTTAAGGTTTATCTATTTCATTTTATGTGTACAGGTATTTTGTCTGCATGTACATTATGTGCACCATGTGCGTGCCTGGTGCCATGGATCCCCTGGAACTGGAGTTATAGACTGTTGTGAGTTGCCATGTGGGTACTGGGAATTAATTGAACCCAGGTCCTCTAGAGGAGCAGCCAGTGCTCTTAACCACTGAGCCTCGGATGCTTTTTTTTTTTTTTTAAGATTTATTTTTATTTTTAAAAAAATGTGTGTGCATGCCTGTACATGAGAGAGAAAGAAAGACGGGGACAAGGCTAGAGAGAGAGAATCCATGTGTTAGCAGAGGCCAGAGGCATCCGATTCTCCGGAGCTGGAGTTACAGGCGGTTGTGAGCCTTCTGGTGTGGATGTTAGGAGTTGAACTTGGATCTGCAAGACCAGTAAACACTTTTAAACACTTTTAACCACTGGGCCATCTCTCTAGCCCCAGGATGCTTCTTAATGTTGATTTCTGGAAGGGCTTTATTGAATATCATTTTATGTAGCTGTGTGATGTAACCTGTAAAGAGCAGGCAAAGAACAAGTCAGCCAGACCTTCGGTTTATAACATGCTGAAGCCTCCAGGGAGGCTAGTCTCTTGATGAAGAGTATGTGATTGTGTGTTTTCGGGTGTTTTAGTTAGTGAATTAACAATTCTTTAGAAAACCCAAAGCCCTGTGGTTCAGTAATGGTATTCCCACACTACAAGATCATTATGTAGATAAAGAGATAAGTTTGTGAAAGCACTCTGAAAAATGTTTACTTTGAAATATGTAAAATAGTTGGTCATGACAGTCCAGGTCATTGATCCCAGCACTCAGGAGGCGTAGATAGGCAGATCTCTGTGTGTTCTAGGCCAGCCTGGTCTACTTACCGAGTTCCAGGATAGGCAGGGCTTCATAATGAGACCCTGGCTTAAAAACAACAACAACAAAAGGTACAATACAAGGGAAGTAGAAGATTATCTCTCTAATAAAACATCTATTAAAAGGCCCCCTCTCTGGGTTGGGTCCTTAAGGAAAGCAGTACTGATGATTCTAAGTTCAGCTTTTTATCTAAAAGTTGCCTAGAGCCTGGTTGGAAAGCCAGACAAGAAAACTAGTTGCTTATTATAGTACAGTGAGTCCAACCTGGAGAGAGAAGGGAGGTTCTCAGAGCAGGGGGAGGAGGATGTTCTCCAGCTTTGCTTATTCTGTCAATCATTTATTTCTTTAAAAAAAAAAGGTTTTTTTAAGATTTATTTTATTATGGGTATGAATTTTTTTTTCCTCAATGTGTGTTCACATGTGCTTAAACTTAGTGCCCTCAGAGTTTAGAAGAGGACATGGGACTCCCTAAATCTGGAGTGGTGGATGGCTGTGAACCACCATTTAGGTGCTAGGAATCCAGCCATTGTCCTCTGGAAGAGTAGCTGGTGCCCTTAACCACGGAGGCATTTCTCCATCTCTGGGGTTTGTTTATTTCTTGTCTTAGTATGTATCCTGTGCTAGCCCAGGTCCTCACCACTCTCCTCCTGCCTTCCCTAGGGCTGGGGTTCTAGGTGTGCACGGCTACACTACACATAGCTTAGGAAAACTTAATTTTTTTGTTTTTGTCCTGAGTTCTTTCCCCTTTTTGTTCATTCACTGTCATGATGCTTCCTACATAGCCTGGCCCACTTAGGCTTTCTGAATTGTCAAAGATCCAGCAATCTTGGGAGAGCCTTTTTGAGTGAGTCACAGATGAAGCAGGAAACATTCCCCTCAGTGAATGTCCCTCAAGTTGTGAATGAAGAAACTTCACAGTGACACTTTTTTTTTTTTTTTCCTTGAGACAGGGTTTCTCTGTGTAACAGTCCTGGCTGTCCTGGAACTCCCTTTATAGATCAGGCTGGCCTTGAACTCACTGAGATCTGCCTGCCTCTGCCTCCCAAGTGCTGGGATTAAAGGCAAGCAGCACCACTGCCTGGCTAGAGTGACAATTTTTATTTATTTATTTTTGGACAAATCAGCACATGAGCATTGTGTTTTAAGTGTTGCTACAGGGGTGGTGGTGGTGGTGATGATGATGATGATGATGATGATGATGATAATGATGATAATGATGGAGAGTGCTGGGGGGACCTAGTCCCGGCCTTGCAAACACAAGCTAAATACTTTGCCACTGAGCTACATCCTCAGCCCTGTTTTGTGTTTTTATTTTTCAGTGTGATTAGGTCTTTTGCCTACATGTATGTTTGTGCACTATGTACATTCCTGGTGCCCACAGAGGCCAGAAGAGGGCATTGGATCCTGGGAAACTGAGTTGCAGAGGGTTTTGAGCTGCCATGTGGTTCTGGGAATCCAGTTCAGGTCTTCTGGACAAGCAGGGAATGGTCTTAATTGTTGCTGAGCCATCTCTGCAACCCTCTCCCCCATTTGTTTGTTTTTTTGAGACAGGTTTAGTTGGTTCCAAGCTGGCCTGGAACTTGTCACCTTCCTGCCTCCTACTCCCCAGGCTTGGATTACAGATGTCCACCATGCCCAGCGCTGTGTATTTTCACTGGCCTTGAACTCACTGTGTAGCAGAAGATGACCTGGGATTTCTGATCCTCTTGCTTCTGCCTCCCTAGCACTAGGACTCCAGGCCTCTATTACCAAGCCTGATTTATTTGGTGCTGAGGATCCAGTTGTAGGTTGTGTGTGTGTGTGTGCTAGACAAGCATTCTCCCAGCTGAGCCGCATCCCCAGCCACTTGTTATGGTTTGTTGTAACAGTTTGTTGCATGGAAGTAGGATATGACCTATATATATAAGTCATTTTAAAATTACCTAGAATTGAATGCATAATACATGTTATTTCTGAAATTGTTCCTGTGACATTACAAGTCTTAGAAATTATGACATAGTGGCATTCCTGTTGCTTGAATTTTCCATTTGCTTACTGTTTTTTTTTTTTTTTTCTCTTTGGTGGCTGGAGAGACAGCCGTGGGTGCTGGGAACCGAACTCTTATATTTTTGGTTGTGAGCCTAGCCTTTAACGGCTGAGCCATCTCTCCAGCCCTCCATTTGTTTACTGATGCATCTATTAGAAGGCAAATTTGCTGTGAATTCTGGATGTTCTTCTTGTATTAAATTTTTTACCTTTATTTGTAAAAAAAAAAAAAATGCACTTTGTTTTTATTCTGTTTTGGTTCAGAAGGTGGAAGTATTGCACAGTACTTTGAGAT